TAATAATTCTTTAGTATATTACTTGTGTGATGTAAGAATGTTAACACTGTTAAAATCTATTTTTAGTATAATATGTGTGTGGGTAGAAGTGAATCATTTACTGCTTGCAAACCAATGATGGTAAGATGATGTCATGGGGTAGGACTGGATAAGTCTGACTTCTTCCTACTCCATTCAAGCATGTACTAGGTATAAGCAAATGGATATTGGATTAGCATTTGTTGGATATGTGTAAAATTATGTGTGTTGACATATCAACTGTCTTTACATGCTTGAAAGAATAAATCAAATCAAAAAAATCAAAAATCAGCAATTTAATGCCAATTATCTACAAGTGACTGGAAGGTCAGTGCTTTTAAAGATCTGACAGCGGCCCCCACAGGCTTCATTGCTCATTTAGGTGTGTTTGCATGTTTGGGACTACTGGACTGTTTGTGTGTTGATTTGTTCCAAACAGCCAAAATACCAACTGTACCAGTTGTACTTTAGTTGTACACTAGCTGGAAACAGATGCACCTCATCCTCTGACTGAGCTCATCAGGAACTTGTGTTTTTCTAGTGTCACGCCCATTAGATCAGGAGGTTAAATTAAAGCATGCAGCTAAATTTTTTATCTACTTTCCTTGTACATGTACTTGTATCTGCTTGTGTGATGTAATGTTCCACTTATGGATTCAAACTCCCCCAGATCCAAATGGTGGAGCCTGCCACGCTGTAAACATTGACATTTTTTAAGCGAGGCATCGTTGAGAGTTAAAAAGTGACTATATTCTTAAGAATCAAATAGAGTAGTCAGTGTTTCTGTTCTGCCTGTTGGCATACTAACCAAACTTTCGTGGTAAATTTATTCCAATATATAGCAATATACAGTATATCGAGTTATACAGTATGTTTTTAATAGTTTCCAGCTTTTACTGCTACTTTCATCAGTGTAAAATATGTCAGTGTCCTGTGTTCACATTAACGTCATGCCAACTAACAAAACAGTGCACTTCTAGAAGCTTTATTGTTATTAACTTAACAATACTGTGACCTAACTAATCAACTGTAGCCATTTCCTTTTCTCCTTCCCATTGCAAGGAAAGCAGTAAAGTGACAGCTGATCAGTGATTTTTGATTCAGATCTACTGAAACAATGGGCAAAACAACACTGTAACATATGGAAAGGAGAAGAACCAAAGTCTGGACCTGGAAACACAATATTACATCACCACTTAACAATCAGATTATGAGGACGCACTGGAGGGACATCATTTTTGCAGTTCTTAGTGAACCATGTGCTTTTAGTAGAGGCAGATGACATTTCTTTTGCAATCCATGTATTTCCCACTTTTATATGTATTTGATTTTGATTTGAAATGCTGCTTTTTGCTCTTACACACAATCTAAGGATGCTTGTCTTATAAGTGTTAGAAACAAAGGCAGATAAATGTGGAGTTTTAGCTGCTGGAATTTAAATACTTCTTTATTTATCATTTTTAACCTGTTCTGGTTATTAACACTGATGTTGGCATAGCATTTGCTGCAGCATCAAAAGGAAGCAGACATCTGAACTATGTCTGTTTTCTGAGTCAGCTTTACAGAAGGTTTAAAGAGTTAGATACGCCAACAGGCTGTAGGACATACAGTATATGTTACTTTACTGAAATACTCCAGAAAATTGTTTCATTTCAGATGAAGTGTTTCAAATTGGGCTTGGACAAAAATGCCCCGCCAATGAACAAATAAATTTTGAAAAAACAGAAGAACAGATAATAAAATGTCAAAAATTTGTGGATCTATTTTCTTTACAAATTCCAATGTCTAAGATTTCACCTTCATAAACAAGGGATGTTTAGACTTTGGTTTATTTCATTCTAACTTGAAGGACTTTAGATTAAAAAGTCACTTGTTATCATGACTGCTTGAATGACACATTCCTCAATGTTTCTGACATGAAATAGGTTAATAAAGCCCGGTGAGTGTGACACAGTCGTGCAGTGGTCAGCACTGTCACCTCACATCAAGAAGGTTCTGGGTTTGAACCTGTCAGCTGACCGGGCCCTTTCTGTGTGAAGTTTGCATGCTCTCCCTATGCCAGTGTGTGTTGGCACTGGATGAGTGGTCATCTGTCTCTGTGTTAGCCTTATGACAGACCGGTGACCTGTCCAGGTTGTTTCCCACCTCTCACCAAGTGTCAGCTCCAGGTGAAGTGAAAGTAAATCAGTTGTATTCACTCACATTGACAGAGCTAACTGAATTCAATCAACAAAATGCTACAACATACGCAAACATTTAGTAAAATGAACATGTCATTTCAAGTGTGCTAAGTGAATTCAACATAACTATTTGATGTAATATTTAATTAAGACAGATGAGATATGTGAACAACATTCAGAAATAATTGTAGCCTTTTTTATTTATTCATCCCATCTTAGTGGTGACATAACTAAATTAAGTAAATGTAACATTTAATTTCTTAGAGTGGACCTGTCCTTGAGTTAAGATTCATTTATCAAACCTTGGGAAAGAGCCTAAATGCATGGTGTCCAAGCTAAAGTATGTTTGGAGTAACAACATCCTTCCTGTTCCAGTAATTAGTGTCAATTCCCAGCAGCTGGGGAAGCATTCCTCCAGGCCCCAAGGCAGTGTCTCATTCATCATGTGTCATCAGTGAGACATCTGTGGCGCCTGTTTGCCTTATAGGCAGTAAATAGGATGTGAACATTATGCACGTTCAGAATGCCCCGGTGTTATGGGAGCAGCGGTCACGATGCAGACATGCTCGGCACCACCCATTTCTTGTGGGTCATAATTCTTTAAAAGAAGGCATCGTTTGGTTGCAGTGAGGTCTGTGATAAAATGGATTTATTTCAATAGAAAGACAGTCGTGTACTGCAGAATACATAAAAATGTAATAGTCAGTGTATTATAATGAATATTAATATTGAAAAGCAAACTAGCAACTGGCTGTTAGTCCATATTCCTCATATTTTTCCTCATATGACTTTATATTAAAAAAAACAAAAAACAATATGAAAGTGATTCTTTCAGTAGATCTATGACATGAGCACATCTCACCCTTCGCTGGGATATGGCGAGCCCTTCAGTGCTGTCCTCAAGGAAACAGACCTCCCCCTCAGTGTAACTTCTTCGTTTCAGGCCTCTCCTCCACAGTGGAACTGGTCTCAAGCCCTCGCTCCTCATTTCTGAAACAAGATCCCAAACAAGCAGTAGTTAGGGTGTGTGAGGTGGGGCGGGGGTGGGGGCATTTGCTGGGGTAAGCAACAGTGACATTAGTATTCAAATGGTTCAATCTATGTTTTTAAATTAAAAAAACAATCCTTTTATTGTTATTTGCTCCACATGGCCACCAGAAGTCCTAAAGGAGCTAATTTTGCATGTGCACACATATCTAAGTAAATTGTTGTGTTTACTTTGTAGTTTTTATTTTCCTAAAAGGGAGACAGGTGAAAATACACTACGTTTTACCAGGAAATTTTTTTTTGTTCATTTTTATTCACATTTATATCTTAAAAGTTTAAAATGTTAACCTGATGTCTTACCTTATATCTTGATTATAGTGGGCTATGGCTTATTGTGTTACCAGTGTTACCTTTAGGGATCACTTCTATGATGACACCTCTTTGGCAACCATTATGAACTTAGTGTTTTTTATACCACCTCTGGAAGTCGGCAAGAATTGATGAATACATGTCAAAAACCTGGTGTTGGTCATGGCTGAGGAGAAGAAGGCATTCTGAGGTCCAGTGATTTTATTATCAGTGTTTCAACCACACTTGGTTGTTCTCAAGACAAATGTTCAAGCGTCAGATACAGCCTCATACATCCCTCATTTCTTTCAAAACATATTTGCTGTTGTAAGTTAGTAGCATATAAACATAATCTTTAAGGGACAGAGGGTTGGACTTGTTTCTGGCCCCCTGAGGAGTACTGGCCAATTTTAGCTCTCTTTTGTTTTCGCCAAGTGACTCTTTAGCTGTTAAAGGCTGTAATATATCATGAGCTATTTGGATTGTGTGCACAGTAATTTCATCAAAGCTTATTTACTGACAACAGCCACTAGCTTCTGCTGGAAACACGAATGATGTGACCCCTTGTTTCCCATCCCAAAAGGTTTTGTCTTAGTCTATGAATATCACTATAAAGCCAGTTTCAGTTAAGCAAGGGTTAGGCTTCTACACACTGTAAATAGTCACCCTAATTTACAACTCATGCAAAGCAAAGAAAAAAGGTTTGATTGGTGAGATGCAGTGATGGTTCATGTGTTAGAAGCCTTTCCTTGTATGTTGAGTAGGGAGTGATGACAGCTGACTGAAATCAGCACAGACCTGTTTCTTGCTGCTGTTCAACCCACTCCTCCCTCATCCATGAAAACAGAACTCCCATCACGGGTTCAGTTTCTACTGTTACTATGGCCAATGTGGAAATTCCCAAATTAGACATCTCATGTTTATGTGTTTAGATACAGGAAAGTCAGTCAGTGCCAACATGGAATGATGCTCTGCATTGCTAACAAGCAATACTAACACTACCTTATCCTTCAGTTCCACAAACTGGTGGTATATGTCTTTAAAGCTTAACTCCTATTTACTACACCTAATCAGGGCCCCTCCATCCCTCCTCACTTCTCAGCCTCTTTTCTAGATCCAGTTTCTTGTCCATCAGAGAAAGAACTAAGGCATTCCAGAGTCCACAGGACATTGTGCTCACATCATAAGGAGGATGCCTGGAATTCTGCCTGTGTCCCACTTCAGACAATTTCATTTTCCTCACAGGACCATTTACTGTAGCTGTTGGTCACCACTGCCTCCTCAGGCAACATGAAATGCTCTGAAAACATAGTAGTAATGACAAACATCACCTGGAGCTTGTCTCTAATGACAGGGTAAACACCAAGGGAGAAAATGTGGGGTTGGCTCAGGGTTAGGTTGTGAAACCTAAGTACTGCTCAAGTTTTTTATTAACATAACTATTAGATCCATTTCGATGTGTCACTGAAATGAAAACATTAATATGTGGTTGTGCATGTGTGTGTTTGCTGGCATATCCCACTGGAGGAGGTTATTAAGTGCAGATCCTACTAGTAATTAAATGCTAAAGGTTAATTAGGGGTGGTTTCAGTAACCAGCACTGCACCCAGCTGCATATCCTAGAGTAAACAACTTGTATGTCTCAGCAAAATAGCCTGCAATGAACACCCAATGAATATTTTATTGTCTATGCCTAGAAACACCTAGAATCTAAGAGCTTTTAATGTACTAGATTAAGCTACATCTGTACTTGTACTCACTTGTCCAAACAGGCTGCATTCCTACCACTGATTGTTGGTTGGTTGGTTCCTACTCTCCCAGACTCACTAACTTCCATCTTTTCTAGCAGTTATAATAAAACTGTATGCTGACTGCTGGACAACATTGTTATAAAGAAGTCTGACATGGCAAAAGCACTAGCAGATAATTTAACCAGACCGTCTGAACCTCTTTATATGGAGGTCCAGTGTAATGGTATTCTCTCTTTTGTCCCTATCTGTATTAGAAGAGAAAACAAAGGTAAAGGGTAAAATTATTTCCAAAGATGTATGTTGTGAGCATCCATTCTAGTTTACAGACCACTTTCTAAATCAATGTTGACCTATAGTGCTTAGGTTCCCAGTACGTTTCAGGCAAAGCAGGTCATAAGAAGCGATAGCGAACAACTTCTAAAGATAAAATTGCATTTTCCTGTTTTGAATGGCCACACACACAGGATAAAAAGCACTGCCATAAAGGCCTCCCCTGGCTCCGTGCCACTGCCTGTGTGACCTTACCCAAGAATTCCATGTCTTTTGTGTGTTGTTGTCTTTTTGATATGATGAAATGTACAAATGGGTGTAATAGTGCACGCTCTCAAACAGTCTTCCCTTGACACAGATATGCATTAGTATTACCTCTTCTGATTGCTAAGAGTGGATGCTGGGTGACTTCAGGGATGGTAGACAGGTCAGAGAGGGTTCCACTCAGTGACAAAAACTCATTTCTTGAATGTCTCTTCTGAATGTCCTGGAAGGCCAGGGAGGCAGCTCCACAAGTGCAGTGCTGCTGGAAAAAGTCCTGTTCAGAAAGATGGCATGACAGCAGTTTTGTACCACACCTCCAAAAGTAATATTAGCAACAATGCATTGTTATTGCATTTTAGCGATATGCATTTGTATATCTAATGTTGTTTGTAGCAGATGTAACTGCAGTAACACAAGCAAATTATACAGAGGAATGTTTTCCCAGTAATACTGATATAGTATTAATGTTCCAGCCACTATCGCATCACATTCAGTGTTACATGTTTGACACACATAACCATGAGTTGTATGTAAAATGAGAAAAATGTCATCTTACGCTTTGATAAACGTCCCACTTTCCTAGTTGTGTTGATGGCATAGATTTTAACAACTTCTCACTAAAATGCTACATGGACTGTAGTGTTATGTCCAGCATAAAAGAACTGTGTAGCCGGAACCAAAACTGAGAACAAATTAGAAAAACCCAGAAAAATGACTTCATTTTCTAATCCATTTTCTAATCTTTCCACTAATTGGACAACAAAGCACTAATGTTGCAGTCAGTTGGAATGACTCCAACCAGAGTAATTCAATACAAAGTACAAAATTGAAATGCTAACATCAGCCTGCTAATGATGCTGACATATACACGTTAGCCAGCTACTGTACTTAGCATCTAGCAAGAAGAAAGCCACATCTGTGTCAGATTTTAGTGCTTTGCATGCTTTTAATGATCTCCATCTTCAACATGCTAAACTGATATTAACCCTGATTTTGTCTCATTCTTTGTCACACTCTTTACGTGGCCTCTTGGGTCTAACAGGTCCACTCCCATCCTGGGTTGGACCTGCACAGGGAGCCTCCATTGTCTGTCTTTGAAATCAGCCACAGTGGTTTGAAAAACACATCTTATAACCTTGGATCAGTCGGGCCGTGGAAGAAGTGTGGTCAAGGCAAGAAATAAACATGGGGGTGGGGTTAGTGCACCAGGGAAAAAACACTTCTAGACAATTTGTTACTTGATTTATCCAAATCTGAGTTACATGTAAAAAGTGTCACAAATGTTTGAGTAACTTGAAAAAATAGAGATAGAAAGTGGAGTACAATGCCTAACCCCTCTCACTTCCACACAGCCGGTCAGTTAAGATGTTATGGGAGTGTGAATGTTGGCTCATCAGTGATGGAAAGTTACAGAAATGGTTAGACACAGACCTCCCTTATCCAGCGCTGCTCCTTTTTTGTTCACATGGGGGCAGCAGAAACAAGCTGTGAATATACAGTATCATCACCTTACCAGTTTACCACTATGCTCAACAATTCTGTGTCTGTCTGCTCTTTTGTGCTGAGCAGGGAGTGAACAGGGAGTTTTAGAGCTTTTTCAATGAAAACAGCTACCTACTGTGGCCAAACACATCAATATACAGTACTGTGCAAAAGTCTCAGGCTGCCATTAGTTTTGCAGTTTTAGCAAGGTTGTAGTACTGCTTTTTTCTTTTTTTTTATTATTTAAAAACAATTTTTCAGATAGCTGAAGTCATTTTAATGCTTCTAAAGACCAACTTATCTGTTTGTTAAACCCTCATACAGGTGTTTACCACATGTTTCAGGATTCAAAGGGGAGGAGTTGTGACTCATAACTCATCAGCAAAGAATAAGGCTGTTAGAAGCACTAAGAAGAAGAAGAGAAAACACCATGAAATGGCCTTTCCATTGTGTCCTTTCCTTAGATAACTGAATAGACTCAGGTCCAGAGCTCTGGGAGACTGTAAGGAAAATCAAGTTTAAGAATAGTGGAGCACAGTCTATGCTTTTTGTTGGTCCTCTGCCTGTGCTTGTGGTTGATGTGAGCACTGGACCACGGCGCTCTCTGAATGGTCTATTCAGAGAGCGTTCCAGCCAAGGCTGCTCTCCTTTTTTGATGTGTCATCTTTGTCTCAAGTCAGGGATTTGCCAATGAGAAGATTACAGCAGGGGATCAGATAAAAAGACTTAGGAGAGCAGCCGGGGTGGTCCATCAGACAGGAATCAGATATTTCTTCTCGATGTAGAAATGTTGATTAAAAACATGAAGATTTCTAAACTTAAAAGTGTGGTTACTTAAATTAAATATATAACACTGAGCCTTTCCTTTCTTCATTCCCCCTGTGACTCTTTGCTTGGTTTCTTTGAAAGACTACATGTATAAATAGACAATACAAATAAAATAAACACCCACCTCTTTCAAACTCCATACCCCCAGTTTGTGACACACTGCTTACTGTTACTGTCTGGGATAAGCAGAAATAATGAGCTATTCTCAAGATGGCAGTTCTACTGGTTCCCTAAATCAGAGCTACAGCCTGAGAAAAATGTGTGAAAGAATAGTCACACCTCTTTGGTCTTTGCCATCCTGCTGTCTTTCTGCAGGCTGCAGATCTGCCTCTGCAGCCGGAGGTTGGTCTCCTGCAGCTGGCCGATCTTCTCAATGAGCTGGCAGATGTGTTCCAGATAACCCCGGCCTGAACCCAGAGGGTTGGAGCTTGCTTGCTGTGCCTGGACAAACAGAAGGTGTGCTAGTTAGTCAAGTGGTATTACAGATATTACTACTTTTAAATTTGATAGTATTCTACATTATTGTATTGTTCTCATCAGGATGGCATCTCTGTAGGGCAGAAGACCTACTGTGCCACATTAATTCAGTAGCATACTGATCTACTGTTGGTGGCCTTTGCAAACCATTTTGAATGGGGCATAGACTCCAGCCAGGGTGACACTGAACATGGTTTGTCAGAATGATTCCTGACCCTACATGCTGTCAACACATAAATAAACCTGTCAATATACTATTGATCTCAGTGGTGCAGAAGCTTGTCCTCATCACATTATAATGGCATTTTGTCTGTTGTGCTGCTCTTTATCAGAGGCAAAGTTATTCCAATTTGAAATACTGAAATTTTACAAGAGAAAACATGTTATGGACTAACTCTTTGGTTTGGTAAAAGCATTTTGGTTAAATTCCCCACTGTCTATTAAGTGCAGCATATAGCTGCTTCCCTAAGGTTTTCTATTAGTTTTTCCATTATAGGAAGCTACTGAAATGTGACGCGCCAAGTAAAGCTCGATTTATGGTTCTGCATTAAATCTACAATGTACCTACAGCATAACCTTATACTCTATGCCATAGCCTACAATGTAGCTACAATGTAGCCTGACGTCCACTTCTCCAGAAATGTAACTGCACATTGCTGCAATGCAGACAACAACAACTGTGATTGGTTGCATCGCATTTCCTCATTCCTGTCTCTCAGTGGCCAGTCAAGCACAGACTTGGAGCCATCCTGCTTGGACCTTGGAGCCCTCTTTGGAGGTGCGTTCTGGGAGCTAAATTTCAGCACCCCTCAGGAGGTAGTGCTAAAATCAGGTACCAGGAACGCAAGGAGGTGTGTGCAAGCAGAGCAAACATCTGTGATTGGTTAAATGTCCGCGTCTGCACAGCGCAACCATTAGCATTACCACCACTGTGTGTAAACACACAGATGTTTGCATGTGAGAGGAGAGCAACCCCTCCCTCCTCTACACAGAGACCTACAGAGAGAAAAAAACTGTGGAAAAAAAAGCAGGATGGAGGCTATGCTTGGTGATGGTTAAGGGAAGTACAGGGTATACTGCTCGTTAGGTTTCAATAGTGGAAACATAGCAAATGAGAAGTATCTGGGACTGTTTCCCATGCAGTGAATGAGACATTCTGAAACAAAGCGAGAAAGATGGTTTAGTGTAGAGATAGTCTGAGATACCTGGACTAAAGCAACACATAACTTAGCCCTGTATTTTTTAAATACCAGGAATGACTAATTTATCCCTCAGTTATTTATGTCTACAAAAATGTTTACTGTTACACAAACTGGTATAAATACATAGATAATTCTACACATAGTGAATAAAGTTATGTTCAAGAGTAAATTATGTCCACTAAATAGATTTTACTCTAAAACTTTTTGACTCACCTTCTTTGAGTGCATTTAAAAGCAGAGGTGTGTACATCAAACACTTTACCTATTGTAAAATTTCTTATTAATTTTAAGTTGCATTATACTGTTAATTATATACTATAGACATTTTTGTGTATTTGTTGCACTGTATTATTGCAATAAGGGGCAGAGTTATTGTTCGACCTGCCTTAGATAAATATGTACAGGTTGATAAAGATAAATCATAAGTTAGAGAAACATAGAAACTGCGTCCTGTATTTTAATGGTTGTATTATTTATATTGTTGTGTTTTCACTTTTATGGCTTCTGAAAGTTCTTTCATAAGAGAACTACATAAGCTGCGCTTGCACAAGCATTCCACTTGTGTCTCGGTAAATTCATATCAAGCACATGATGGTGTGCATCTTTGCAGCATAATCACCACATGCCAGAATTAGCTTGTACTGTATGCTGTTGTGACTAATTGTCAGATGTCTTGTTTTCCACATTCCCATTGGAGAAATAAATGTGTTGTAACGCATCCAACAGCTGTAGAAATTTGTATCATACAGTATACCACTAAGAGGGGAATAATTACAGCTTTGTGTTGCAAAAATAGTCACCTAGTTTTTAGTATTTTAGAGCTGTACCTGAATCCAGAGGAGAACAAAAGGACTGAAAATCTGTTGTGTTTACATATCTGCTTGCCCAGGAAGAGCAGATGTTCACATTTTTCAGCAAAATGAAAGAGGAAATTTTGAGCAAATATTGATCATCTTCACCAATGTTCCTAAAAGCGTCCCAACAAAAGCAGGACCTACAATGTAGCTACAATGTAGCCTGACGTCCACTTCTCCAGAAATGTAACTGCACATTGCTGCAATGCAGACAACAACAACTGTGATTGGTTGCATCGCATTTCCTCATTCCTGTCTCTCAGTGGCCAGTCAAGCACAGACTTGGAGCCATCCTGCTTGGACCTTGGAGCCCTCTTTGGAGGTGCGTTCTGGGAGCTAAATTTCAGCACCCCTCAGGAGGTAGTGCTAAAATCAGGTACCAGGAACGCAAGGAGGTGTGTGCAAGCAGAGCAAACATCTGTGATTGGTTAAATGTCCGCGTCTGCACAGCGCAACCATTAGCATTACCACCACTGTGTGTAAACACACAGATGTTTGCATGTGAGAGGAGAGCAACCCCTCCCTCCTCTACACAGAGACCTACAGAGAGAAAAAAACTGTGGAAAAAAAAGCAGGATGGAGGCTATGCTTGGTGATGGTTAAGGGAAGTACAGGGTATACTGCTCGTTAGGTTTCAATAGTGGAAACATAGCAAATGAGAAGTATCTGGGACTGTTTCCCATGCAGTGAATGAGACATTCTGAAACAAAGCGAGAAAGATGGTTTAGTGTAGAGATAGTCTGAGATACCTGGACTAAAGCAACACATAACTTAGCCCTGTATTTTTTAAATACCAGGAATGACTAATTTATCCCTCAGTTATTTATGTCTACAAAAATGTTTACTGTTACACAAACTGGTATAAATACATAGATAATTCTACACATAGTGAATAAAGTTATGTTCAAGAGTAAATTATGTCCACTAAATAGATTTTACTCTAAAACTTTTTGACTCACCTTCTTTGAGTGCATTTAAAAGCAGAGGTGTGTACATCAAACACTTTACCTATTGTAAAATTTCTTATTAATTTTAAGTTGCATTATACTGTTAATTATATACTATAGACATTTTTGTGTATTTGTTGCACTGTATTATTGCAATAAGGGGCAGAGTTATTGTTCGACCTGCCTTAGATAAATATGTACAGGTTGATAAAGATAAATCATAAGTTAGAAAAACATAGAAACTGCGTCCTGTATTTTAATGGTTGTATTATTTATATTGTTGTGTTTTCACTTTTATGGCTTCTGAAAGTATTTTCATAAGAGAACTACATAAGCTGCGCTTGCACAAGCATTCCACTTGTGTCTCGGTAAATTCATATCAAGCACATGATGGTGTGCATCTTTGCAGCATAATCACCACATGCCAGAATTAGCTTGTACTGTATGCTGTTGTGACTAATTGTCAGATGTCTTGTTTTCCACATTCCCATTGGAGAAATAAATGTGTTGTAACGCATCCAACAGCTGTAGAAATTTGTATCATACAGTATACCACTAAGAGGGGAATAATTACAGCTTTGTGTTGCAAAAATAGTCACCTAGTTTTTAGTATTTTAGAGCTGTACCTGAATCCAGAGGAGAACAAAAGGACTGAAAATCTGTTGTGTTTACATATCTGCTTGCCCAGGAAGAGCAGATGTTCACATTTTTCAGCAAAATGAAAGAGGAAATTTTGAGCAAATATTGATCATCTTCACCAATGTTCCTAAAAGCGTCCCAACAAAAGCAGGATGTGACCTCAGGTTGTGATCTTTCTCCCTCTCTTTCCTGTACAGCTGATCCTGAAATTGCAGTCAGGCACCTGGGAGGTGGGATGGAAACACTGGCCAAACAATAGGCCAGCTGCCATAACAGGTTAGAGGACTAACATCACTCATTTCCTCTAATGGATAAATCCTCTGTAGACTGCTCTGGCTCTTGACAGTGAGCCAGTTCCCATGTGGCACTGTATAGAGGACGATGATATTTGCTTTGAGTGTTTGTTGTTTTTTTGTCATAGAGCGTCATCATACTTTCAGCAGAGCTAATACTGTGCCTTGAAAGGGGTCACTTGCAGTGACAAATCCAGTGGCATTTATCAACCAACTAAAATATCTACAGCAGCATGTAGACTGTTTAAGTTAAGTGCTAATGATGCTTGACCTTTTAAGTCTTTTCTGCTGAGTTTTTAATCCTTTGGTTTACAGACAAGTCTTTGGGACATTGACCAGCTGTCTTAACTAAATTTGTTGAATATTGTTGTTTTCAGAAAAAGTTAAGCTACCAAGAAATGTAAACACTTTGCATGTCAGTGCTACTATAGATACTTTGTTCATGAGTTCATGGATTTTGTTCCAGAGTGAGCTGCTCACAGGCACAGAGAGGAACAGGGCAAAGAGGAGGTTTTATTTTTTATTCATTAGCCATACCTGCAAAAGATTGGAGTAATGGAGACGGTACACCTGTTAAACAAGCAGAACACAAACTTGCAGAAATGTAATGCCTTCACTGCTTTACCTGTGGTCAATTTGACAAGGCCTTATAATACTGTACGGTCTAGACTTTACTATGTAAAGTACCCTGAGACGATTTTTGTTGTGACTTGGTGCTATACAAAAAAATGAAAATGAACTGAATTGAAGTGTTAGGTGAGTCATGTTATTTCCTAATATTTCTTCATATTTTGGCAAATCTACACCATGAAAACTTATGCTGCACTAGTTGCTATTAGCACCTTTTTGTACTGTAATCATGAAAGTACAGACAAAATCAACTGGTTTCCTTTTGATAATGACAAAAATGTCTAAACACAATTTTGAGGTGAAACGTTTATTTATAAGGTATAAGGCACAATGTACATCAGAAAGATTGTTATCAGTAGAAGGAGTACACTAAGGCCAGTATTATGTGTATACAAAGTG